GCGTCTTCGACTCGAAATTCGTCCGTGCATACATAGGAGCGGACGGAATTTAAACGATCAAGTACCGCGACGAATGTCGACGGATACAAATGAATCGATAGCGAAGTTGATCAAAATTCGACGGCTTCGTTTTATCGAGTTCATCGATGGAGAACGACGCGACTCGATGCAATACGCGATATTCAATTTTCGCGATACGTAGTGGTTCTAGAGTTTTTCTATGTCGACGCGTACGAGTATATCGTAGTTGGGATGGAAAACCGGTTTTTCGGTACCGTTATCGATACTAGATTTTGACGAGTGAAATTCGCGCATCGACTATCGAAAGGTTCGATCGATGACGGGCTCGTTGCTTCGAAGCCAACTATTCGTGGATCGCGCGTAAAATGGACAGGCAGATCTGTATGGCGTGGCGGCGAGAAGACGGGAGGAGGAACGAGAGAGCGTCGCGGGTGCAGAGAATGCTAGTTCGTTTCTAATTAGCCGTTACCAGGACGCGATCTAAACGTATTGTGACTCGCGTAAGATAATAAGCGGACGGAAATCCACGATTATCGTGGTCAGGCAGAAAGGGCATCCCGGCTACCACCGGACGAACCATTTCCACGGTTCACCGCCCTTCGTTTCAGCTCTGCGTACGATTATAGTCCCACCGATTATTTCGCTGGACGTTCGAGCGGAGAACAAACGCAATTAACATCGGAGTCAAAGTTCACCGAGTTAAAATATGAGGTCGATCGTGTTTGCTCGAAGGGAAATTCTCTCACGCGTTTAACGTTACCGAGCCGATTCGATGTTTCGCGCGTCAACGAGGGGAGCCTCGAAACGACGGCGGCGAACAAAAAACGCTCGACGCAGCCAGAAACGAAGAAAGGCGCGTGGCGTCGCGTCGATGTCTCGCATTCTCGAGGAGGCAGAGAGTTTCGGAAGAATCGGCTGGGTGACTCGTATTACCCGAGAGAGTATCGTGCCGCTGGTCGCGGTGAGTCACGACGAATCGCGCGCGGACGAGTGGGTGGGTGTGCAGTTACCTGCGTTGCACGCGTCCACCGTCTACACTATATCTACGGCGTACGGTATACACGGCTGTTCGTCTTCTTTCATCCACCAAACCTTCTGACCGTCGATATTATCCGGGGTTTTATCAGAAGTATCTGTATCTTAAATTCGACTACCGTTTATCGACGAGAAGAGGTCTTAAAGGAAAAAGTAAATTGTCGCGTCGATACCGGTAGCAGTTCTTGTTTCGGTCGTTAAAACACGGTCGCAAGTATTCGACTCCCCGACAACCCCGTTTCGTTGTCGTTACGTTTAGTTACGTTTGGACCGTAGCAAACCAATGTTACGGACAATTTACTCGCGAAATTAGTTACAAAACGTTCGACCTATCTACCCATCAGCCACTTCCTCTTCCTTCACGTTAAATAGACGGACGGCCATTAAACGCCGAGAGTGGAGGAAGAGTTATTGTTCGCGAGTTGCCATAATAGATTCGAGTCCGCGTATCGTTCGCGCTCGTTTCGTTCCCTGCTAGCCGACCAATGTCCTCTCTCGATACGTCCGCCAAAGGATTTACGAGTTTTCGTTTACCTTCCGCTTTTACGAAATCTTTCGATCGTTGCGATCAACGACTCGTATCCGGACAAACGCGACCCTTTTTCTCGCTCGTTCAGCGCGTTCGTTTAAGCGTTTCGATGGTTACCGGTCACGGGTCACGATCCCCAGGAAACAGATATGACGCGCGCCGCGAAGCGTGAAAAGCTCGAACCGAACGCACCCAGCGATTACGTTCGAGCAGACGAAGACACGTTTGCGCGAAAATCAAGCGTGTTCGCGACGCGTGGAACGATCGTCGAATATGTATCCGTCGACGCTTAAACTTGCCGCGATCCGACAGCGACGTTTTAGCGAACACGTTGACCTTTCAACTCTCGCATCGCTTCCGTGAAAACGCTATCGCAGAGACCTGTTTCAAGAAGATCGAGAGTTGATACCTCGTTTCGATATTGACCGTAACGGCGAATTTTCCTTTATTACGACATAAATTATTTGTACTTGTCCACGCGGGAAAGGAACACGTCATCGATACGTAAAGTACAAAATGCGCGCGTTCTAGTCGTTCGGTCCGCAATAGTTTGGCGAATTGATTTCTCGACGTGCACTCTATCGGAGCGTAACTCGTTAATAATTACGAAATAAGATTATTTCTACACGGTCAATTAATACGTTATGGCTGCGTTGTTACGTAGATCATGTCGATTCACGCGATATAACGCGTTTTTAAACTCGCGAGTGTTAATCGAACGTCTTTTACTTTTTCCCGAGCGCGATAGAATTTCTTCGCGATCGCCTTTCGATTCATGGAAACGCTTCGACACGATAGATCGAAAGTCCAGAAGAAATAGGAGGAAATTTGAAAGCAACAACGCGAGGAAACCTGACAGCGTCTCTATCGTAACAAGAATTTACGAATCTGCCGTTCAGCTATCGATATCTGGTAGGTGATTCGCGAGCGCCGTTCGATTTGGCGAATCGGATATCTCGGCGAACGATACGAGCGCTTACACCGTTTCGCGTCGCGTCGCGATTACGGGTGAAAGGGGAAATCGCGATGTTTATCGAGAAAACGATCGGGCGTAAACAAACGAAAGAAGAGGAAAAGGGAAAGGAAGAGGCGGGAACGAGACGAAGCTCGAAGATCGAGCAACGGCGTTGGCACAATAAGGGTGTTGTAAGTAAGTAAGAAGCAGCAAAGACCTCATAGGAGGCAACCTCGTGGCATCGCATACTTAATGTCCGCGAAGGAGCGCTTTGTAACCTGCACGGAAGTCTCGGTCGTATAACACATTAGCATTACGAGCTAACACCGAGGACGGATTGTAAAGCATCGGTGTATCTGCTGTAATAACTGTGAAGCGACTTTGCGCTCTTCATACTAATGAGCTGGATTTTAATGGCTCGATTCTCCAACCTCCCTCAACGACTCGAGCGCTACGGCGAAAAATTGACCAAAACTTGATCCGCTAGTTTCGTCGACTCGTTAACGTTGACTCGCAAGCGAATTCGAGGAAAGCGGAAACATCGAAAACACGGTAGGTATTCCTTATCGGTCGCGGCCGGTTCGGTCTGATCGGTGGAGGAGGTATTAATCTGAATCGATTGTAAAGCGTGGAAGAAGATATGTTGTTTGTAAACGCGCGAGGCAGTCGCGTCTGTCGCGTAACGTTACGGTCAGTCAATTACTGTTAGCGAGAGAGAAGAGGTTACGAAAGATGCAAAAGGTTTTCGGTTGGGCGGAGGCTAGTTGATTATCCGCTTCTCCTGCGCTCTCTCGCGAGATACCGTTATGCTCGCGGCGCCCGGGGCCTTGAGATCCCTTCTTTCTCTCTTTCCCTCTTTTCTCCTTTTCTCTTTTTCTCCTTTCTTCCTTTCCTTCTTGCGTAGCTTGCAGGATCCTTCGTTACCTTGCCTTGCCTTGTCTTACCTTACCTTATCTCCTCCCTTCTCTCGCGAAGATGTTGGCCTGGCCTGGCCAAGCCGTGCCATGCCCTATCCGACTACCTGGTTAATCGCGGAACACGGAAACGGGCCTCCGTAGGCTCGTTTGATCGTCGAACGATCAAATCCGAGGATCGTTCCGGAA